GGAGTGTGGTACAAATCATATTGAAAAGGTTGAGTGAAAGAGGCCTTTCAACAACTACATTACGGGTTGAAAAACATTCAAACAAACATTGTTTTTTGTTTGTTTAAACCATTTTCTTTGCATTTTTTAAAATTCCAACTCATGCCCACATTTCAGGCATTTGGCTCTATATCCTTTTCTGCTCTCATTTTTTATCTCTTCAAAACAGAGCCAAACAGGCCTTTCTTCCTTCCATTCATCTCACTGCATTGGTTCAAGCTCACTCATATTAAGACCACAAGCAATGAGGATATGGAATAATACCTTGCAATAGGCAAACTGGAAATCCCCTACACAAGGGGATTCCTGCTGACTTTGGGAATTACATTGACAAGATGACTCCTATATGTCGGAGTATAGGACTATACCAATATAGAGCTAAATCTGAAAATTAAGCAGCAAAATACAATTCAGATGTTATGGCCACTAGCTTAAAGAGTAATCGTTCATTTAAAAAGTACTCTTTTACATCGAGTTGTTTTGGTTAAACATACAAGGAGGAATTGTAAAGTAATAAGTATCACGTGAAAGATATTATAGTATATTGATGAAATTTTGTCAGTGTCATCATTGGTTCCTAAGTGCATGATGTTGAGAAAATCAGCTCATTGTGTCCTTTATTTTTGTTACAGGTTGTGCCAGAAGTGCCTAAAGTGTAAGATGAAGAAGTACGAGGGGGTATCATAAAGTAATAATGATCATTCGGAGGTTATTATCGTATAATGATGAAATTTTGTCAGTGTCATCATCACTGTGACTTTTTTCTTTTCCCAAAAATGAAAGATCCATTGCGGGGTCGCCGATTTGACAACACAGATGACATGATTCATGAAAGTGGAAGAGTGGTTTAAGGTGCAGTCTGCAGACTTCTACAATAATGCTATTCGGAAGGTCAAGAAACACTGGGGAAAATGTGTAAATCTGGATGGTGGCTACATAGAGCTAAGTTAACAACTACAAATCAAAACAAACTTTCTGTCAAAAAAATTTAAAGGTGATAATTAAAACTTTATGATACCCCCTCATATGTTAACTGAAGGATTTGTTTCAGAATGGCCTTCTTGCACTATAAAATAAAGTTATTAAAAAGAAGCAACTAGCATTGGATACTGGTCTAACAATGAACAACTGCCAAAAGATTGTTAGTTGAAATTCAAATAGATGTTGTTGTTCCAGTAAGAGTGTTGGAAAATATTAATAAGGGCCAGACTTTTTTTATTTAAAAAAAAAGGAATAATGAATTAAAAAAAAAAAAACAAACAGGAGATTTTTTAAAAAAGTAATTTAATTTAAACTGGCCAACCTTGGTGTTTACCCAGCTAATAGGATAAGGGCCATCATCTTATTTGGTTATGAGCACCATCACCCATTATTTTTTTACGCCCAAGATAAGTTATTTGAAATTATCTGAATGTGAGACAGCTCTGCTTCAATATATTCATGTTTACATTCTAGATGCTTGTCTTTATGAGCATGTGGCATAGAAAATTTATATGATATTAATATAAGCCAGTGGTTCTTAACCTTGTTGGAGGTACTGACCCCCACTAGTTTCATATGCGCATTCACCAAACCCTTCTTACGATTCTTACACATTCACTGAACCCTTCTACCGCCAATACAGACGAACCATCAGCGCCATCCGGTGAGGGGAGTGGGCCGCCGTGCTGTCAGTCATGCCACATGGCCAATCAGAGGGCCACTTCTGTCGGTGGAGGCGGGGCAAGCTGGTTTGGTTGGATGGGGCATATAAATAGTGGGACATATAAAACGTATACAGGTTATCACCTGCAGCCAGGGGCGTGTCATCACGAATCATATGAATCGGATGTGTGTCTTGACTTCCGCCGAACCCACGAGACTGACTCACCGAATCCCTGTTGTTCGATCGAACCCAGGTTAAGAACCACTGATATAAGCAGAATCCACTTTAAAGAATATGAATGTATATCCCATTTATAAGTGCTGGGAAACATTTCACTTTTTGATTTCACTGAACCAAATTTGTTTAGAATAGTTCCAAATACTGCCCTCTTAATAAAGGCTGTGAGATTGCATCTGTATATTTAGGACTGCATTACACTTATATATAATGATTACACTTTCCATGTGTGTTGGAGGATGAGGACCATTACTTTAGAAAAATTAGTTTTTTAAAAATCAAGCCTACATGGTCCTATTTGAATAGCAGGTGCGGATTCAGGTGTGGATCACAGACAACTTCTCTGTGAGGCTATTGTTATATGATTTATGAAAGAGAAAGCAGCAGTTTATTTATCATAAGCATGAGCTAGCTGCTTGATTTCTGAAGTCAGAGAATAAGAAACTTCATGATGATGCAAAGCAACTGTGAGCAATGCTTGGAGTACTGCTATTTAGCGGAAAAAGAGGAACAAAATTCTAACACTAATGAAACTGTGGTAACTCAAGCACACCTCCATTACAATCCATAGCTCTCCCAATATACGCTGTGTAGGGGATAAACAATGGATGGGGAAATGCAGACTGTAAGCCACATGCCGCACCTGGGACTCTGTTTTGCAGCCCCCAGAGCTGTTCTCCAGAGACCCTCAAAGACCTCAGCCCCCCCCCCACGCACTTTAAAAGAAGACTGAAATTTAAGGCAAAAATCCATCCAAACTGTCAGAAAATGTGGGCCTCCTTTCTCCCCATAACCTCCAGGCAAAGCACAAAAATCAGCTGTTTTCACAGTTTTGGGCTGAATCCCAGCACCAGAATTGATATGACATCAATTCTGGTTCTGACAGAAGGGCTATGGGAAGGGCTGAGGGGAAATGGCTCAGGTGTGCTCAAAGTGGTGGTCCCCCACATCAGACAGCCTGAGTAGCACTGGTAAAAATTATAAGGTTCACAAACATACTATATGGCATACACTATATTTCATGAGCTTTTGGGTTATAACTTGTTCGAAATACATATCAGTTTCCTGCTTTCAATCTGAAAAGGCTCATTCTAATCCCTGCTCCTGAACTGACATGTGTGGGTGTGGGTGTGTATGAATTATAATCAAATTATCATACCTACCAGGTCCTTTATGCATACTGCGGTACAAAGCCAGAATATGTGATGCTGTGTGGGAGATGCTGATATGGAATTTGTAAGAGTACTAAACTAAGAAAGTAATAGCAAGTTAATGAAAATAATATGGGAAAAGCTGAGAAAATGTATCCGTGAGTAAAAAATGCCACATGTGAATTGTACACAATCATAAGGTGCAAAATATTAGAAATGCTTTCAATATTTTGTAGAAAGACAGGCAATAAATGTTAACAAATAATTTTTGGTGGGCATCGTAGTAAGTGCTTTCAATATTTTGTAGAAAGATAGGCAATAAATGTTAACAAATAATTTTTGGTGGGCATCATAGTAAGTGCAAATTGCACAACTACAGCTACTCATAGCATATAAAAACAGAAATTGTGCAAAAAGTGGGCAGTACAGACATATCCCAAGGCATCATGCTTGAAACAGGAAAAGAAAAAAGCTCTCTTGGCAATAGATGATCCTCATTAGTACATAAGCAAAGCAGTCACCTTTATATCTATTGCGTGCATACACATCTTCATCATCTTCTAGGAGCCAGTATCCTGATCCTACAATACAAAAGAAAAGAAAAACAACTGCAGCAAAAAAGGAAATATAATACACTGTAAAAGCATAAGGAAAGCTCTTGCAAAGGCAAGCAAAGAGGAACTGGGATGTAATAAACATCCTAAAGCAAAATAAATTGCAAAAAAGCATTCATGTTTCTTAGAGTTTGCAACAAAATCAGTTTACAGTGAAATCAGCCAAACTATGGACATAAATATGTTTATAATGAACGCTATGGATCCAGGAATTCTACAATTTATCTTGTAGGTAAAATCTATTACAAACTGAGATCTTGTAAGTCTCAAGAAAGATTTCACTATAAGATGGTTCAAGAGATGCAAGTGGATGCACCAGCCACCATAGCAGTCAGCTGCAGAAGCAGAATTCAGATGTAACAACCATCCTAGGTTGGTGTGACTCTGCTTAATCATGGATATTCAACACAAACTAGGCAGCTAAAATGATTGTTACATCCATTTTTATCATAATGCCATTCTGGCTAATCAAAATAGCATCTTCCTTAATTATTTAAGGTAATCAGATGTACAAGAAATAGCTTACTGGGATGGGTTTAGAATACCTTAACATGAACTTCCAACACTACCTAACAGACTCTCAGACTTCATTCTGATTAAGCAAGCATAACACACTGATGAAAACAATCTTTTCAGTATTGGACTGAATATGGGCAAAACTATGACACAGTGATATAATAAAACCAAATCCCCATATCGCCACCCAGGATGACCTTGACTGACAGGATCAGCGTATGTAACTTGCCAACAGATTACTGGTATCACTTAAGCTAATCACCTGTTTGGCAAGCATGAATGGACAACTAATACCAAATCTTTTCTTTGGCAAGTGTTGATATAAAGAATTTCATGTGCATCTGGATTTTCACAAGCAGCTCCAGCATGCAAGGTGCCATGGTACCAGGCTATCATCAAATTCCATTGCCACACATCACTCAATAGAACAGTCATCTTAAAATGTGCCTTCCTGGCATCCTATAGTACAATGGCTAATGATGGAGAAGCTACTCTCCATGTGCCCTCTTGTCATCAACCAATTTCTACCATGGGCCTTCACAGAGGAATTATAGGTGCAGTTTAAGGAAGGCTCTCAGTTCTTGCAGAGCAAAAAAACAAAAAACCTCAACAAGCCTACATGAATATTCTTAGCAGAGAAATCAGTGGGTTCACAAAGGGAAAGATGCTATAAGTATATGGTCCTAAAAGCAGCAGCATATCATGTATATTTCCTACAGAATTACCTTGACTAAAGACACACATTTCACCTGGCTGTCAAAACTTTATGATTAATTTAGGAATAAGATCACCACAGGAGCCAGTGTGGTATAGTGGTTTGCATGTTGAACTAGGATTCTGGGAGGTCAGGGTTTAAATCCCTGCTTGGACATGGAAACCCACTGGCCTTGGAGGAAGACAAGGGCAAACCCTCTCTGAACAAATCCTGCCAAGAAAACCCTGTGACAGTTTCACACAAGTCAGATCACGACATACATATATATTTTTTCCTTTCAGCATTTATTGCTAAGATACATGGTGATGCATCCAGACCTCTATGAAATCTCTTATAAAATCAGAATAAAATCTACAGCCAGGATCCTGTCATGCTAAACTGCTTGCACAACACACTACAGGCGTGCGGTTTGATACTCTCCATGCAAAGAGGCACTAAAAGTAGTGGCAGTGATGCACAAAGGCCAGTTTCAAGCCACCTATCTATTGAAAACCTAAATTTGAGGGAGGAGGGTCTTTGAAGCTAAGGTACTATGGGAAGGATTGCTTAGAAAACACCTTCTAGTCCTCATCAGTGACTTCCTCATCATTGCATCTGAGGAAGAAGTCCAAACCTATGAAAGCTTATGCTACGATGTCTTTTGCTCAATGGTACAACAAGATCCCTTTGCATAATGATATTTCAGACTAACATGGCTATGTCTCTGAATTCTAGGCCACAGAATTTAACTTAGCTGCAAAAAGGAAAAAGATTGTGATCTTAATGTGGCATCTTTGCCATTTTTGTATCCTCAGCTGCCAATAATGGCTAAAGTGAAAGGGTGTGCATAAGCTACTTTTTCATGGTTTGGATACACATATCTGCTCAGTTTTCCTAGCATGCCCATAAATTCACACTGCAGAAAAATAAGTGTACTTTCAGAAATAGGAAAGCATCAGCAATGATATGACTGTATAAGTTGTGGAGTAGACTATTTTTGCATTTTCCCATGGTGAAAGGAAGGGCAAAGGCTCATAGAGAGTGGTGTTGGCTATCATGGGAATTGGAATACCTTAGATATGGATGTCTGTAGAAAATGTGATATCATACACTATAAACTGTTACAGTAACACTGTAACACTGCTATAGTAAGCAGACGTGAAACTGTTATTACAAGGTTTTATCAATTGCATCTTTTCAAAAATGACACTCAGGACTGCACCTGCCCTTCAGTACTCAGGGGCTCTACAGACTGCCCAAAAGGTCTCCGTGCCGCCACTAGGAGCACCGGATTGGGGCTATAGCAACCACACATCGCAGCCCCGATCTGGTGCTTTGCCGGCCTAAAAAGGGAAGGCAAAATGCTGCTCCTTTTAAAAGTGGTGCAGAGCATCTAAAGGCAGCACCACAGAAATGCCCCCGCTGTGCAGTCAGTCGGTCTGTGTGACGCTGGCATCAGGGCAGTATCAGGGTGTGCGGCATGCAGTCGTCCAAGCCCTGTGGATATTGTATATAGCCCACTGCATATAAAATTTTCACAGCAGTTAAATATAAAGAATTACAAAAGAAGCACTATCTTGATGAAGCATTCTGGATCATTTTGTTTTTTTATGCCTTCAAGTTATTTCTGGGGCAAACCTAAGGCAAATCTATTACAAGATTTTCTTTAGATACTCAGGAGCAGAGCATGAGGGCAATAGTAAATTCCTAATTTGTTGCTTGCTTTGTATCGTTGTTGTCAAGTCATTTCTGACTTATAAGGACCCTTAGGCTAACCTATCATGGGGTTTTCTTGGAAAGATTTGTTCAGTGAGGTGTCATTGCCTTCTTCTGAGGCTGAGAGAGAATGGCTTGCCCAGGGTCACCCAGTGGGTTTCCATGGCTGAGCAGGGATTTTAACCCCATGTCCTTTGGGGTTCAACATTCAGTCTACTACACCTTTTTGGCTTTCATCATGGTCCCCCTACAGCTTTAACACTGAACAGAAAAGAAAATAATATATTTTATAAAAGCCTATGTATTTTATTTTAGTCTAGATCCTAAATTTACTTAAGTCAAAGAGAGAGTCTGTTTATTACAGTAGGCTTGATCTGTTACATAGTAATAATTACTTTCCTTTACTCTTTTTTTAGCCCTTTCTCCCCTCAAACCTCCTCCTGCCCCCATTTTAACAAGCAGGGTTTTTTTTTTTAGTGTTCTCCTCTTGTTACTTTCTTTAAAACTGCTGATGCCAGCAGACATACTGGCATGTCAACAACTCCATGGCAGAAAATACTAAGCTCACTAAAATTTGAAAGCACATTGTGCTATATCAGATTTAAATAACAGTCTCTAAAAGCTTTGAAGATGTTACCAAATAAAATTTTGCCTTGCACTGCCTTGTCATGCTGGGCAGAATTCTGTGATTCAACTCAAGAGAACTTTCAACAAAATATGTCATTTTAAATAATTTTTCAAATAATTAGACTGAATGCTTAGACCAGGGGTAGGCAACCTAAGGCCTAGGGGCCGGATGTGACCCCCCGAGGCCTTTGGACCGGCCCCAGGCCGGTCCTGCCGCCGCTGCCCCCTGCAGAATTACTTGTTCTTGGGGTTTTCTTGGCAAAATCTCCACATGGGGTTTTGCCATGGCTTTTCTGGAGCTGAGAGTGTGTGCATGCATATTTTTTACATTTTTAAAAATTTATTTATTTATTTATTTATTTATTTATTGTGCTTCGGCCCCCCCAACTGTCTGAGGGACAGCAATCCGACCCCTGGCTCAAAAAGGTTTCTTACCCCTGGCTTAGACCTTTGAAAGCTGACTCACAAGAAAGAAGCAATCTGGTGTGCAAAATCTGAAAAATAAGGTCTTTCAATTGTTCTTCACATATATTGCCAAGAATAAAATTCTGATCCAATGAAACATCTAAATCCATATTTAAGTTTAAGAAACCATTTTTCTCTCTTCCATGGATCATTAAGATTACAGTATTATGTTTCCTGTAAGTCTGGTTGAACTCAATTAGGGTTATGTTGTTTTTTTTTTAGAAGACATGTACAAGATTGCATTGCAAACCATTTACATTTATATTAATTCCAAACACAACCATTAAATTAGACAGCAATTCAGAATCATAAAATGTCACTTTTTGGCATCTCCAGTGGCTGACACCCAAACACAACAACACAAGGAAGGTTCTTCAAGCCTTCAGGACAAGTGTTGTGTGCAATAATCTGGTACCAATATCATTCTAAGTCTGATCAAAATCCAATGCAATGATTGTTGTTGTTAGCTGCCCTCAAGTTGGTTCTAACCCATGGCAACCCTGCGGATGAGGGATCTCCAAGAATCCCTGTCCTCCACTGCCTTGCCCAGATCCTGTAAGCCCTTCCCCCTGATCAGGTCCATCCATTTGGTCTGTTGTCTTCCTCTCTTTCTTCTACCCTCTACCTTTCCTGGTATTATTGTTTTTTCCAGTGATCTGTGCCTTCTCATTATGTGGCCAAAGTACTAGTCTCAACTTTGCTTCCAAGGAGATTACTGGGTACTATTTGGTTTCCATAGCTCAATAGTACATCAACACATTGTTAATGAGCAACTGAGCCAAATGTAAGGATCAGTTGAAGGCACACATGGCAGTGCAGCATCTTGCCAACACTGCATCTGTTGTAACTGTGACCTGGATGAGTGACTTAATTCAAAACTGATAAAGTTAACACCAAGTCGTAGAAAAAAAGCAGATATAATGAATGAATGGATGCAGCAGATGTTCCTAGCAGAGGAGAGCATATACACTCCCTTTAGCCGACAGAAGACCATCTTCATTGCAGTTGGCTGTGTGCTGGTTCCCTTAAACACAAAGGACTCCCCAGCACCATTCCCTTGGTAGATAGTGGACTTATTTGCCTTGCAAGTGAAGACCAAAGAACCCACATCAGTCCCAATCTTATATATCTATGGCCATGTTCCCTTGAAGCTGATGGAGACTAATGAAGGGGTAGAAAATGGGAAGGGGCAATTCCACTCCTTCTTCAGTGACACAAAACCTTGGCTCACTAGTCAGGGACAGAGAAGTTCCACTGCTGAATTGCCCAATGAATACAGAGACAACAGTAGGGCCAAAGATTTTTACACATGGGCTGCAATGACATTTTCCCCTATTAACACAGCTTGATAGTTGCTACCTAACTACAAGCTCACACTACCTTACTCTCGAGGCCTGAACATCTGCTAGGATGAAACTATGATCCTCCCTATACCCACTTGAGCTATATGTTGCAATTTCAATACCCACTGCAGCTGTGTGGTTATTGTTTTGGATGCTAGTGGTAAGCTCTTCTGGTGGTTAGGGCCCCTTCTCATGCAATCTTCACTTATTTGATTTTCAGTGCCTGTATTGCAATTAAGGTATTATAACCAGTAAAGCTCTGAAAGAGGCAATGAGTCTAAGACACACAACAGTTGTTAACAAATCCAATAACATCCAAACAATGATACCTTTGTTGGGCCAACCGAAATGCACTATTACATGGTGCAAGTTTTCAAAGCTACACTGGCTTCTTCATCAGGCACAGGAGGAAAAAAACTGAAGATGTTAGTCACAGGCCTGCATTCTGTTGTTTCTGGTCTTAATTTTAGATGGTAGGGAGGGCAATTTGCAGGCAGGACAGCACCTCCTCCTTTGGCCATGTGGTCACTGGTAAAGGAAATTTAATGTCCATTTGTAATTCAAAGAAGATGCTTTCTTTGGAATAAAGCATGTCTTCCTCTTGTGTGAAGCCACAGACTTCTCTGTAGGTAGAGAACACTGAATTTCTGAAGAAGCCTTCATGTTTTGCATCAGGAAAACTTTTGGTGGTGTAGGAGTAAATCATGCCAATCTAGTCCAAATATTAGAAAGAATTGCTTTACCTTTGTTGGAGGCAGAAGCCTCAAATAGCAAAGTCCCAGGCTCTCTCTTTAGGATTCCCCTGCAGTGGCTAAAATGCAGTATTTTGACATCAAAAAACACCCAGAGGTAGCTGTGTTGGACTCATTTGCAAGAAATCCAATAACATCCAAGCAATCATACCTTTATTGGGTCAACTCAAATGCACAATTACAAGTTGCAAGCTTTTGAAACCACACTGTCTTCTTCATCAGGCATAAAGAAAAAAACCTGAAGATCTTAGTCATAGTTGTTAAGACATTCTTA